ATGTAGCACGAGGACAGAGGGGCTGTAGGTGGTCAGGGCTGTGGGGGAGGCACAGGAGGGGCTGTGGTGAGGCACAGCAGGGGCTGAACGAGCCAAGCGTGGCTTAGGTACAGAAAACAACAATAACAGAAGGGTAAAGATGTTTTTCAGTACCTTCTACTGCATCCATGCTGATGACTTGACTGGCAATAGGCACGGGGTCGATGTAGCTGGTTCCTACAGGTGGGCTGAGCACTGCAGAGGGGGCTGCTGTGGGTCAGGAAACATCAGGATTAGGGGGGAGAGACTGGAAAGGTTTAGTGCTACAACTTGGGACAGTCTCCTGGGACAGCAGCTGCCCAAGAAACCCTGTAAAACCCGAAAACAGCCCTAAAACCACTGTAGAGCCTAACAGGGAATTCTGTCAGCCAGAAAAATGCTGAAATAGTCATACAACCTCCACGGTTTCTTTAATCTTCTGCTCACAACATCTCTCACTGCAAAAGGCATCTTTTCTAACCCTAGGCAGAGTAAAAATAGGGACTTTTGTACTCAAAAGAAGCTCCTGTTTTCAAGAACACTTGAGTTTCTACTTTCTCCTCCTCGAGTGAGGCAAGAAGTGGCTCTCAGCAGTTTTTCCTTGAAATAAAGACACAGGCAGGGAGCTCCTCCTCAGGAATGTGAGAGGTCACACCTGATCCTGTCGTGGGGCCATAGTGCTTTCCCAAGAGAGAAAGGCACTGCAAAAGGAGAACTCCACGATGAGCAATCACTTTAGTAACACTACAGTTATATTTACAATAGTAAAGATATCAGAGTGTTGAATTCCACTGGAGAGTATTTCTCGTGCTGCTGTGAGCTTTGTCATCAACACTCACCCAGCCACGGGTCCTGTGGGGTTTGTTTTTAAGCAAAAACCAGTTCTAAGTTCTCATGGCATTCAATCTCAGTCTTTTCTATGGGCAGCAGATTGAAGTGTTGGGCTTTGAAAGCTTTTAATTTAGCACCAGCAAGGGGAAGCTGGGACTGAAACGAAGAATAAGTGGGCTGACATCTATAAAAGTGTAAAAGTTGCTGTGCACTCACCCTTTGCCCAGCAGTAGGTGAAGGGGGGCTCTGCTGTCTGAACCCCAGTGTCCCTCACAGTCACTGGGTGCCCCTGTTTGTGCTGCTCCTGGGTCCCCACCAGGGATGAGGCTGAGGACGGGTGTTCTCCAGAGTGTCCCTCTGACCCTCTGGACACAGATTCCCTGTCTGTTGTAGACAGAGACCTTTCAAAGTCTTCAGAATATTCTGAATTAAGAGTTCTCTCATCCTGATCAAGATAATCCTGTTTGTGTCCAGGGGGATCTGTGGAAACTCCACTTAAATGCTCAGAGATTTCTGCTTCAGTGACACTTTTTTCAGTGTCCCCATCATTCACACCAGTTACTGCATTGGTCATTTTAGGAGAAGCTTGGTCCTCTTCCACCATCACATATTTGTTTGATTCTTGAGTCATCTCAATGTCTTTCCCCTGTAAAATGATTTATTTTAGAACCTCTACCCAACAGAGGCAGACTGGGAATAGGTGTTAGTAGAGAATTCCTACTCACTCTCTGCTTTAGTTCTGCTGCCTCACTGGTGATATCTGGGGCCAAATCATCAAGGCTCAGGATATTCAGCCTGAAATCTGCAATCAAATGACACATTGACATGAGAATTTGCATGACAGTTACAGTACACTTCTCCTTAAATGAGAAAAGAGGGGGAAAATCAGTACAACCTTCCTAGTTTAAAGTGTAACACTAAAAGGTAATAGCAATCAAACACTCTAAATCTTTAACTTAGCAGAAACTCCTCCTAAAATTTCCTCCTTTGGCCTCCTGCCTCAAGTTCAAGAGATTTTTGGTGCCCCTCATTTCCAGCTGCTCTCACTCTGACCCATTGGTACTTTGTCCCATTGATTTATGAAAACTATTCTAAATATTGTACTAGTTTTGATGTCATAACATCACCCAGGGCAGCAGCACTAACCTGAACCCAACCTAAGTCAAAAGCAAAGGAAAATACAAACCTATTACACCAGAAAAAAAGAAACAGATCTACATAATTACTTTGGTAAGGCCTTGGTTTATGTAAAATTTCACCAGTGAATCCTTTCAAAGTGATTACTTGCCCAGTTTATTAGTGAATTTATCAGATTATCAGTACAATTCATGCCAGGTCTCCTTGAGACAGTATTTTAGAAAACTCACCATTTGAGCTGCTGCTGGTTGGATCTTCTGCATCATCTGCATTTGAGAATAACTCATCTAATGATTTTATTTCACTTCTGTCACTTCCAAGGGATTCTTGGCTTTGTTTGGTGTAGCCTGTTTTAGGCAGAGCAATCTGTACAGTGTTGTCTTTCATGGAAGAGCTCGTGGTATGTCCTGACAGGTTTCTGCTGGTGGGTGAAGGTGCTGGTGAATTAACTCTACTAAAAACACTTTTCTGTGAGTCTTTGTTGTGAAAAGAAGATGCTTTAGGTAACTCTGTTGGTGCAATTTCCTTAAGAGACAGAGGAGGCCTTCCTGGTGGAACTGGAGTCTTGTTCTTTTGAAGAACATGAAAAACAGATTTAAGTGTTACTTCATTATTATGTTCAGAGTGCTGAAAAGGAATACAAATCATTATGGGTAAAATAAGAGTAATTTAAGATGTTGGTTTAAGATGTTAAGAAGTGAAGCTGAATCCTATCGTGAGCAAGCCACAAATGCAAATTTAAAATTTAGTATCTGGTGTTATCTAAATAAAAAGTGACCAACCAATTAAAAAAATTCTATAAAAGTGTTTATGGAAATACATAATCCAGCAAAGTTTGTATTTACCTTTCCATCTACAACAACCTTCTGATTCCCATTTCCACTGGAAAACCCCAAGGAGTTATCCATCAATTCTGTCATTTCCTCTCCATCACTATCCAGATCCAGCTGTTGTTTAACCATAACACTCTTTTTAGGGCTTTGGATGCTTTCCTCTCCCTCAGAACTGGCATCCCCGCGGGTCCCACTCTCCCTGGTGGCACCATAATTCTTCAGGTACTTCTTGCCCCTTGCACCGTGTTCACGCCCCGAGGCAGAGGAGGAGGAGGACTCTTCTTCCAGAGGCTTCAGGCCCGGGTCAGTGTTCTGCGATTCCAGCTGCTTTTTCCGACTCATGATCTTGCTTTCCAGTTGAGCCACTTTGCTGAGGACTGAGCTGGACCGTGTGTGGGCTCCCTGTGCATTCCCTGCCCTCGCGGTGCTTCCCGGCGTCGGGCACCGCCGGCTCCCCCCGGCGATTCCATCGCGCACCTTCAGGAACCTGCCCTGGCACGACGGGGCTCTCCCGGCCATCTCCGGCTCCGTGTCCACCACCCCGAGCCCGGCCGGGATGGTCCTGCTGTGTCCCTGCCGAGAACCCCAGAACCACCGAGGTTGGAAAAGCCCTCCCGGATCATCGAGTCCCCCCTTTGCCCGATCCCCACCTTGTCCCCCAGCCCAGAGCACTGAGGGCCACGGCCAGTCCTTCCTTGGACCCTTCCAGTGGTGGGGACTCCAAACCTCGCTGGGCAGCCCCTTCCAACGCCTGACCACCCTTTCCAGGAAAAAATTCCCCCTGATGTCCAACCTGACCCTCCCCTGGCACAGCTTGAGGCTGATTCCTCTTGTGCTGTTCTTCCCTGGGAGCAACCCAGGGTCCACCCTCCTGTCAGGGAGCTGCAGAAAGGGGGTTGTACAGATCTCTCCCCTCACGGCCAAAAACGTGCCCAAGAACGGAGCGAGCTGAGGCACCGGCGCCTCACCTGCCCTCGGCCCGCGGGGGCCCGAGCGATCGCGGACATCCCGGACGGGACGGGACGGGATAGGATAAGGCGAGATGGGACGGGACGGGATGGGATGAGATGGGATGGATTGGGACGGGACGGAATGGGACGGGGATGGAAGGGGATGGAATGGAATGGGACGGGACGGGCCAGGACCGGGACTGCCCGGCCTGAGGCTGCCGCAGCTCCTCCAGACCCAGGCCAGAGGGGGCGGTGCGCGGCCGTATCCTAGAGACCGCTACTCCCCAACATCCCGTCCGCTCATTGGCTCCGCGCACCCCGCCAGCCAATCCCAAGCAGGTTTACTGCCGCCCGCCCCAGAGGCGCAGACTACAATTCCCAGCATGCCCCGGGGTCGAGAAATCGGGATTTATCCAAACCTCCTGATGTGGGAATTAATCCGGTTGTTCAGCAGGATTTGTGTTAGTACCCGCCCTTTATGTGCTTGTGTGTCATTTCCAGAGACTTGGGGAAGTTTGTAATTTGTGTGTCACGGTGACATTTGGCACTCTATCTAATTATATAGTTGTAATAAAAGGATAGTTATGCAGCTTGTGCCATGGATCGTTTTTATTTTGTCTGGATATTTTGTTTTCTGGGTTAGTTTTCTAGTACTTTATAGTACTGCAATTCTGCTGCAAGGCAGGTTTTAAAACTTATGTTTAAGATCCTTAAAAACTTTCACTTGCCTTCTTTAAAACCCTAGTTAACAGATATACACAGTTCTGACTATATACTTTGATTATATACTTTGAATATAAGGGCAGATCAGGCTTAAGAAGTAAAACCTGATAATTAAATGCATCTGGCAACCTACAAGATGGTTTAGATCCAATTAATGATCCAACAGTGAGGAAACCCCTGACTGGGATAATTGAATCCAAATTGATGATCCAAAAGACATCAAGCCTGGTGTAATTTGCTTTCCTTGTTCTGCATTAGTGGATTATTTAATTTCTACTTGATATAGTCGAACTGGGGTTTTGCTTTCTTAATCTTCCTGCGTTTTTTAAAGAATTGGGATGACCCCGAATCCATGAGGAACCTGAATTTTGGACTGAAGCTTGGAATGAAGAAGGGCATTATCCTGTTGTAAGACTCCTCTATACGTGTATAAATAATTTCCTAACCCTACTGGGGAACACTTTCTCTGCCTGACTGTATCCAGAACATGTGATTCATCCCAGGGGGAAGGAAACAAGGGACTCTGATAATCTGAGGATGCAAAAAAACAGATTTCCTGGTTTTTTTTTCTGGGTGGTTTTATCCCCCCATATTCCTTCAAAGGAGAGAACTGGTACAATTTTTGGCAACTTCTTGCTAAAAGATGTTGAAGTTTATTCAGAGGACTTTGGAGATAAAAGATGGGAAGAAACAAAGGTAAAATGAAATTCCTGTGGCTGTTTTGGTTCTTTATTCCACGTTTTAAAGATCTCCTGTCTGTTCTGGTTGAGAAACTATTGGGGCATAAAAATGAAATTTTAATCACAGGGTCCTAAAAAGGAATCAAAGGTAAAGGCAGACTGAGGAAGAGCAGGAGAGAGAGGGTTACAGGAGAAAATACTTTGAGCAGTGGTTTAAGAAAAAAAACTAGAGAGCAAAGAGGACTCTGGAAGGGACAGAACAGCCAGGAACATTATCAAGAAGGAAGAGCTTTAATTGTTATTTGAAAGAAGTTCACATTTTTTTCCACTTACATCACTTAAGGATTGTGGTATTCTGTTAACAGCTTGTGGAAATCTGCACCAATGGAACTGTATTAAGAAAGGATTTTTTTTTAATACAATATTAGATTTTGTGACCAGTTTCAGTTATTTTTAGTAGAAATACCATAACATAGTCGAATTCTCTACAGAAAAGGTGGTGGGGGGGTGTAATTTACTTTTAAAATTAATTTTATTAACTTTTAATAATTTTTATTTAATCTTAACACTCCTAAAATGTATTAAAAACACCTGTAACAAAGCACAAGGTTTTGGAACTGTTCTACACTTCCATGGTTTAGTGTTAAATGTTAAATTAAGGCTCATTTTTGAGGAAATATCACCACAGTTTCAATAAAGGGCTCAGATTCAGCAGCATGTCTCACAACACACTTGAAACCAAGCAGGAGATAAGCTTTGCTAAGCTCCTGTAGCAGTTGTGCACCTGTCAAGAGTTTCAGAGCTTAGATCTGCCAGTGGAACATTCCAGCTCTGCCTTGGTGTGTGTGACAGCAGCCTGTCCATCCACACATCTGCCCTTAGAAGTTTAAATGTATTCAGATGAGGATTTTTCCCTTTCAAAGTTCTGAAATGGACATACAGAGTGCCTAGATGCTGTCTTAAATATTTATTTTTTTTCTAATGGGGCAAGAGAAATTAATTGGAAACAATGAATGATGTGCCTGTTCTTCTGTCTGACCTGTCTTGGACCTCAGCCTTGTAATTTTTTCAGTCACTTCCTTCATCCCTTCTCAGTTCCTTCTGCTCTTCTGCATTTCCTTCCTCCCCCAAGAACTAATGCTGCAGATTCAGCAAAAACTGAAGGGAAACTTGAGAGCCCAGGGCCCTGGATTTACCTCTAGACACTGGCTGAGGGAGTTCTGTGTGCTGAGGACAGAGGGAGCAGGAGGATCCCTGGAAGCCCCAGCTCCAGCTGGGCCACTTTGTAGCCTGTGCAGTGACTGAGGTCAAATCCTTCTGCTTCTGCTTGTCCAAGAGCTGTAAAACAATTCCAGTTAAGAACTTTGAAAGCTCTCAGATACACTGCAACAACACCCATTCTATACCTTTTTTTTTTTTTATTCCAAAGAATTCCTGTAGATTTAGTTTTTATGTGGCCACAGTGATCCACAGTGATCAGGCTGCTGTTCAGGATTCACACACTGCACTCAGGGGTTTGTTAACTTTGGTGTATTTGATGCCAAAACATTTGATCCTAGGCCAGAAGAAGCTTCATTGGGTGAAGGACCTTCACTGGGTGAAGGACTTTTTTTGGGTGAAAGCTGCTTTGACAAGTTTTAGGGTAATGAAGTAACATAAGTGGGTTTGCCCAGGAGAAAATTGGATGTAGGTCATCCAGGTAAAGGTCGATCAGTGCCTTGGATAGAAGGACATTCCAAGGGCACCCACAGCCCTCCCTGGCCCTGCTCTGCCCACATGGCTGAGGCAGCTGGCAGAGTGCCCTGGGAGTGGAGACATTAGGAAGAATTTCTTCACAGAAAGGGTGATTAGACACTGGAATGGACTGTATAAATATCTGCAGGGAGGTGTCGGAGGATGGACCAGGTTCTGCTCAGTGGTGCAAAGCAACAGGACAAGAGTTAATAGGGAGAAAATTATGCCCAGGAAGTTCCACCTGAATATGAGGAAGAACTTCTGAACTGTGCACAGGAACAGGCTGCTCAGAGAGGGTGCGGAGCCTCCCTCACTGGAGACATTCCAGAGGACACAATCCTGTGCCATGTGCTCTGGGATGAGCAGGGAGGTGGGACCAGATGACCCGCTGTGGTCCTTCCAACCTGACCCATCCTGAGATTCTGTGATTCTGTAATGAAGTAAAACAACTGTGTTTGTCTAGGAGAAAGCTGGATGCAGTTCAGCAGGTAAAGGTCGATCACTGCCTTAACTCATTACCTGGAAGAACATTCCACGGGGCACTCACAGCCCTCCCTGGTGGCCCTACTTTGTCCACACCTTTTGTAGGTCACGACCTGAGGCAGCTGGCACAGAGCCCTGGGAGTGGAGACATTAGGAAGAATTTCATCACAGAAAGGGTGACTAGACACTGAAATGGACTGTATAAATATCTAAGGATTGGTGTCAGAGGATGGACCAGGCTCTGCTCTGTGGTGCTGAGCAATAAGACAAGAGTCAATGCGCAGAAACTGATGCCCAGGGAGTTCCACCTGAACACGAGGAAGAACCACTGAACTGTTCACTGGAACTGATTGCTCAGAGACTGTGTGGAGTCTCCCTCACTGGAGATATTCCAAAGGACAACAACCCTCTGCCGTGCGGTCAGGGATGGGCACGAAGGTGGGATCAAGTGGTCCCTTCCAACCTGACCCATCCTGTGACTCAGCGATCCTGTGAGTGCCCAGGCAGGTTTGCACTCACCATCCCTGGAGGTGCCCGAGGAACGCCCGGACGTGGCACTCAGTGACACTGAGCGCCAGGGAGCGTCGCTCCCTGACAAGGCGGCGATCGCCCGCAGGTCGGACCTACGATGACCTCAGCGGCCGTTCCCAGCCCGACCGATCCCGTGGGCGGGAAGCGCCTGCCGGGCCGCGATAACGGACCCCGCTGAAGCCGCGGCGGGTCTCGGCTCCCCCTCAGCCGCCGCCGCCCCGGGGCCGCCCGGCCCGGCCCGGCCGAGCCACCGCCTCCCGCCCCACGCCCCGCCCCGGCCGCGGCCCGACCCAGCGGGAGGAAGATGGCGGCGCTCATCCCCCTCAGCCAGCAGGTACCGGCCCGCGGCGCGGCGGCGGCACCCGCGGCCCTCAGCTCAGCCCCGCCGGGCCGCCGAGGGGAGCGGCACCGGGTCCTGCCCGCGGGCGGGG